AGAAACTGTTAAGTATTTCTTTTATTTACATAGGAGGCTTAAACCTGTGCTTAACAAGCAAGTCCAGTATTAGCACCATTAGATTATAGCCTGCTTTTGCAAGCCATCATTTTACAAATTAAGTAAACAAGGAATCAAATGTCTCTCACACACAATCCTTACTTAGAACAGCTGAAAAATTTTCAGTGAAAGCTTTAAAGATGAGCTCATGAACACAGTTTTAAATTGCACCAGTTAAATTAGGTCAAATTGAAGAACTCAAAGCAAGTTGTCTAATTAGAGCCCACTGTTTTTATGACATCAGTCCACCAACCCCCAGAACCTATTTAAGGAGTATTTTCCAAAATCAGATGGAAAAATTAAGCCCTGCATAGTTATGAATCAGATTTGTTCCAGCACAACCAGGTTGCACACAAGTAGCATTAGTTAGTTTTGCATACACTCTAGAACTGACCAAGACAAAGTTCTGAATAGAAAGCTGTAAGGAATAGATTCCTAACTATAGAAGTTGCAAATTTCAAAAGGGTATAGAAAAATACGACTGTAAACTTGAGATATGCTTTATGTCCAAAGGAATACTTTCTGTAAAAATATACACAATTTTTACAGACAAATACAAGTTGCTTTTGGGCCAGGGATTTAGCTCAGTGGTTCCATTGCCTGCCTTGCAAGTGCAAAGTCCCAAGTTCCATCCCTGGTACCCCCTCAAAAAATATGAGTTGCTTTTGTTTTAAAAATTGAGACTATTCTGTATTTCTAAATACTGTTGGTCTATTCAAGAAATACACTGGGGAAAGTGAATTATAGAGGAATAGCTGCCCTTCACATGCTGTTCTACAGTAGTGAGGCCTGTGGTCAGAGTTCAATTCCTTGTAGCTTAAATCCATTTCACACATGTCACTACAATTGTTAGTGCTTCTCTTTTAACACTAGACAATTGGTGATTTGTAATGGCTTCTATGATGAGCTGGCTACTGGCCACTCCTCTGGCTCTACACAAAGAAATCAAGTCCTTCCACCCTATCACCTTCACTGAATCTGGAAGTCTTTGCATGTTGCTGAAACTGCACTCTGCTTCTTTCAGACTGTGACTCTTTAAGGGGACTACTTTTCCCATTACTGGTTGCAATAATTTTCTTGCTTTCTGGCCTCTTTGAAGTTGCTGCTTGGACAGCTTCAAGGCCAGCTTCATAAATACTTTGATTTCATAGAAGTATATTGTTTTGGTGCCTGGGGTTGTATAACAGTCAACTATTGCACTTACAAGGCTCTTATTAGTTATGCCAAACCAGCTCCTATTCCAGCAACACCTGCAAAAGCCAGTAGCACATTTCTGATGCTGCCTTCTAGATCCTCTATATGGAAGAAGTGCACAAACCCATCCCAGCCTCTTTGTTTAACCAGTCCCTTTTTGTACACTTTCCGCTAATGGTTTGATGCAGCTTTCTTGGTTTATGCTCTTCAAGTGTTTGGATACAAAGGCACCAAAAGAAATGAGTCACAATCCTGCCCCAGTTTGTTATGCCATCACTGAAAACATGGACCATCACTTGTGACAAGGATTTAACATTGTCTTCCTTTTTTTTCTTTGGTACCAAGGATTGAACCCTGGTCCTTGCGCTCTCAAGGCCGGAGGCAGAACTGCTGAGCTAAGTTCCCATCCCTCATCTTCCTTTTGGATGTCCAGTTTTCCAAGCATTCCTTGGATGCTACCTCGTGGTTGTGATGCAGGCCTTCCTTGACCCACCCCAGGGTCTCCAGTGCCTTCCTGCTGCCCCCCACCTCCACCCCCACTCTGGGCCTGCCCAGTGGCTTGGAGTCCTTAGCGCCAGTGTGGCCTGCTCATGCAGGTACCCAAGACGATCTCCAGGGATTGCTGGTACAGCCCCCCATCCTCCTTCGTGATCTGCAAAAAGGATAGCTACTCCTGTCTCCTGTTTTATTTTTTGGGGGGTGGGGGGTCCTGTGGCATCCTTTAACCTTCAGTCTATGAGTTTCTTTCTGAATTAAGTGTGTTTCTTGTATGCAGCATATTGTTGGATCTTGCTCCTTGATCCATCCTGCCAGTCTATTTCTTTTGATTGGTGAATTGAGACCATTAACATTGATGATTATAACTGATACATATTGATTTTTCCTTGTTATGACTTTTTCTTTTTGTTGGATTCTTCGCCTTTGCATTTAATTTCTTGTCATGCCTAATGGATCCATTCTGCTGGGCTTCCTAGGGCTGTGATCCTCATTGTCTTTTCCTAGGATATTGTTTAAAATTTTTTGGAGTGCTGGTTTGGTATTCATGAAGTTCTAGGGTGCTCTTTGTCATGGAAGTATCTTATTACTCCAACAATTTTGAAAGATAATTTTTCAGGGTACCTCAATCTGGGATGGAGACTGTTTTCCTTTAGTGCATGATACACATTGCTCCAAGCTCTTCTTGCCTTGAGGGTTTGTGTTGAGAAGTCTGCTATGATTCTGATGGTCTTTCCTTTGTATGTTATTTGTTTCTTTTCTCTAACTGCTTGTAGAATTTTGTTCTTCTGTTGGGGTTCTGGAATGCTAACTATTAAATGCCTACGTGTAGTTTTTTTTTTTTTATCATGGCTAGTTGGAGTCCTATATTCCTCACTTATCTGTATGTCAGTTTCTTTTCCCTTATTTGGGATGTTTTCTTCATTACTTCTGTGAACAGTTTTTTTTTTTTAATATTATCTGCACTCTTTCCTGTTTCTTCATTGACTCTGATCAGTCTTACATTTTTCTTCCTTGCATCATCTAGCAGCTGCTGGATTGATTTCTCATGGTCCCCTACTCTTTTTTAAAATTTTTCCTTTCCTGGATCCACAATGCAATCCTATCTTCTATATCTGAAACTTTGTCCTTGCATTGGCTCATCTGCTGTGTAGAGTTTCAATGGAGGTTTTAATCTCCTGAAATCTGTTTTATGGATTCCATTTGTTTACTATGCTGGGATTCCATCATGTTCCTCAACTCCTTTATTTTTTAAAAATCTGTTTCTCCTCTAGATTTATTAATCATGTCTTGCACTATGGGCACAATCTCTGCTATTATCTGAGAAATTATTTGTGGCTTCATTTTTTTCCAGATCCTCTTTTGTTGCCAGTTCAGGGAGTCCAGGTAGTTGAGTATCAGATTGTTTCATCTCATTGCCCATTGGGGTTGCCGTAGGTGATCTGGAAGTCTGGTTTTGAGACTTACCTGAATTTCTTCTCATTTCAATAGATGCAACTTGCTGTGCCTTTGTTGAGACAACTTTTTGCTCACCCAGTGGTCTTCAATTCTCAGTAAGCCACGGAGCAGCCTTTTCTCTGCTGCTCACCAGTACACCAATTCTTAAGTTCAAAATGATGGCCTTCTGGTTCCCAGAGCTGACCTGTTTTCTGAGCAGGCTTCTGCCTTGGCCCTGTGCATACTGGGGATGGTATGTAGTTGTGCCTCTCACTGGGGCCCCTATGTACCTGTTGTCTGGGAGGGCCTTTGGCTCTGGCTGTGCACCCGAGTTCCTGTGGTCTGATCAGGGTTCTGGCCAGGGTCTCTGCACACTTGTCAATGGTATTGAGGTGAGCCTCTGCCTATTGCTTGTGTGCCTATTTATCTCTTTCCCAGGTCTGGTCCACACCATTCCTCCCCAGGATCTACAGACACACTCACTGAAGCTATGGGGTAGACCTCTGGCTGAAGCTTGTGCCTCAACCTTTTCTTGTCATTGAAGTTTAAGGAATTAGGAGCACCTAGCTTCCTATGGTGGGAAATACACAAAGGACAGTTGACCTTGAGTTTGAGGTAATTGTGCCTCTTCACAGTAGTGTATCCTGGTGGTATAGGGAGTACTTTCCCCCCGTAATTTTTATTGGCCAAAACTTGCTCTGCATAACATGTTTCTTTTCCAACTTTTAATAAATATAAAAGGTTGCTACCATTTACTCATGTCTTGGCCAGTTTCTTTGTTCAGGGCAGAAAAAAACCTAGAAGCCACCTCTAAAAGGAGACTCTAACACCCCCAAACCTAGTAACAGTATGAATAAAATTATAGTTTTGACTTTTTCCATAAGTACATAATTGACCTTCAAGTTTCTAGAATTTCCTGTCTATGAGGCCCATCTCATCACATACCCAGGCCACATATAGAGGAAAAAACAAATTATTTTTCCCACTACCCATCTTAGGCCCATTGGCTGGTGCTAATGGAAAGAACTGATAAAAGATTAACAAGAGAAAAATAACATTTAATTGTATACATACATATCAGTGTTCCCCCCTCAAAAAAATGGTTCAAGGAGGAAGCCAGATGATTATGGTTTATATACTATCTAAGGCTCAATGAAGGAAAAGGGCCTAGTGGCTTCTAAGAGAGGGAAATAAATATGAGCAGGTCATCCTGCATAACAGCATATGGAAAGCCAATGATATAAGCAATAAAAGCATTTATCAGCAGTAGAGTAAGTGCAAAAGATAATTTATTGAAATATACCCTATTAAAGACAGTGGAACCCCACTGGAATGTGGAGGCAATATTTTTCATGGTAGGGTCAGTAATTTAAGTTTGGCTGCTATTAACCTCATTCTTTGTTGTGAAGAATGACAGGGACTGAGAGTGTGTGTTTGTGTGTGTGTGTGTGTGTGTATTCCTGGGAAAGTTTGTGTTTTGGCATCTTGAAATGTTGGTTGTCAGGCATACACCTGGGGCTTAATGTATGAGAAATGTTCTCATTGTCCCACTGTCTGCAATGAAAAATGTTTTAATTCTGCTATTGTATATGAAGGTGACCAGGAGAAGTATGTTAAACAAGTGTTTAGTAAGGTTTGTTGGTAGATTTAAGTCAAAATCTTTTCCTTTGAGAAGGTCCAGGAAAGTGAGACACCTTTACCAAAGGTAATGTCCTTCTTGCAAAGGAAATTTTTTTTCTTTTTGTAGAGCACTCCTTACTTCTGTTGATTCTCAATGTCAAAATAATCCATAGGTGAATGAAGCACATTTTAGGATGGCATATTCTGGTACCTTGCACAAGTAAACAATTGTGTTAGGAGAGTATCTGTAACACAAACAACCGTGGGAAACTGGTGTGTGTGGAGGGGGTGGTCAGGAAAAATGCAATTCTCAATTCTGTACCTGGGGTCCTAATCTATAGGAACAGTTTGAAGGGTTTGTGGACCTTCCATCATAACTCAGTCATGACTGGGTCCTGCTAGAGTTGCCCTTTCAAAGGCCATTTCATTCCTGAGCAGCCACCACACTTGGGGGAAGTTGAGCTCAGCTGGGGACCTGTAACCTGAGTAAGTAGTTACCCTCCCTGGGACCTTGGGGACTGTCAAGAGCCAGGTTTCCCCATCTTTTTATGAGCCTCTGCCCCTGAGAACGCAGCCTCCTCTACCTCAGATCCATTTTTCTCTTCTTCTCAGCAACTATACCCATATCTGTGATCTCCCTTCATCCTCCATGGACCACGGTTTTCCAAGGAGAGACAGTGAATTTGACTTGCAATGGATTTCACTTCTATGCACCCGAGAAAGCAAAATGGTACCATTGGTACCATGGGAGAAAATTACTGCCAGAGACTTCAGGAAACATCCTCGAAGTTCGTGAAACAGGGATGTATAGATGCTGGGCTGAAAAGTCACATCTGAGTGCCCCTGTGTCATTGATTTTTGCTACAGGTGAGAAAGAAAATTAATTCATTAAATCTTTAGGAATTGTTTGAGTTCCACTTAGCTCTATGTACATTTTAAGAACTGGAGCCCTTCATTCTTGATCTGACCTACTTCCAGTTTCACATTCTTTCTCATTGTCTACAAGTATTTTTTGCTTGAAAACTGTTTAAAGATTTAACATTAATCAACAACATTCTTGCACACTCACATAGTCAAGGAAATTAGTTAGTTTTAGGGAATATAAAAAAGATGTCTGGGACCCTGGCTTGCAGGACTGTTTAGCTTCCTAAGGGAGAAAAAACACACATGTGAATATACTGAGCACAAAGAAGAAAGCGAAAAGGGCTATGAAGGAGGTTAGGAGAGGGGAAACCTACAACCGCAGGTCTTTCATCCCCACTTGTCCTGGTATATATGTCTTCTTTATTTTGACTCTTCTTATTGACTGGCCCAAAACTCCCATATCTCTTCATGCAGCTTTACCTAGTTTATACATAAAGGTTTGGATCACCTCCATAAGCATGGCTGTCTAGGAGGAGCCATTCACTATATTCTCTAAGAGAGAAAGAATAGAGCTAAACTCAGATTAAAATTTGAAAAGCACCAGAATTTCCATAGAGGATCGCATTGACAGCCTTGGGACCTAGATTCATTTCTCTAATAGTAATCCTGCTGTACAGTGTCACACTGTAATACTTCCTTATACATTTTTTCAAATGCTATTTCTTTGATATTCTTGCTCTGAGATTTGATAAAATTGATGTTGATTTTTTACATATTCTTTGATGTCAGAGATTTTTCTTCTCCATAGTTGAATCCCTATATTTTGAATTTGTCCTTAAATAATTGTGTAAAGATGCTTAAGGCTGATTTAGAAATTGTATCTGAAGCATTCCACATTGGTCTGGAAAGAGGTGAATGTACTTGGGCCAGGAGACTAAATATTGTGAAAGCAAAAATAAAAACACCATGGTAATATAGGAGACACAGAGGAAAGAGGTAACTGAGTGATGATTTTGGGGTTTTTTTGGTTTGTCTTTTTGAGACAAGTTCTCTTTATGTAGTCCAGGCCGGCTTGAATTCACTATGAAGCCCAAGCTGGCCTCAAAATTATGATCCTTCTGCCTCGGCCTCTGGAATACTGGGTCATCAAGCTCAGCTTCTGAATAATATTCTCTCTGTGTTGTTTCTAGATTCCCTCATCCTGCAGTCTCCTTATTCTGTGTTTGAAGGTGACAAACTGGTTCTGAGATGCTGGAGAGCAGGAAGAGAGAAACTGACTACTGTGAAATATTCTTGGAATAGAAAAATATTCCATACTCCTAATAAAAGCTTTGATCATTTTATCCCAAAAGCAAGTTCAAATAACAGTGGCACTTATCAATGTATTGGATATGACAACCAAAATGGTGTGTTTAAATCAAATACTAAAATTATTAAAATTCAAGGTAAACCCTTCATTTCATATAGATTTATTTAGTAATGTCAAGATGGGGGAGTTAGGTATGTCATTAGGGAGTTTATAGGTTAATACTGGGACTTTGGAAACATCAGAGACTTACATCCTCTGGGAGGCAGAGAAAGTAGAATAACTGGAATTGAATAAACCTAGAGAGAAAGAAAGTGATAGAGAGCTTGATAAAGCTTGATAAAGTTGATGTGTCTGCTTTTCTGGGGCTGAGAATCCAAACCTGTTTTCCAGAGCACTAAATGTCTGATGCTGAGAATTTTATTTCCTTCTCCTCTCTAGAACTATTTCCACATCCAGAGCTGAAAGTCTCAGCCACTAAGCCTACAGAGGGGACCTCTGTAAACAAGAGCTGTGAAACACGTCTTCTTCCTGAACGATCAGATACTTCTCTTCATTTCATCTTCTTCAGAGACAACATGCTCGTCCTGTCAGACTGGAACGAGTCCTCAGCGCTCCAGATCCCAGCCATCTGGAAAGAAAACTCGGGGTCGTACGGGCGTGGTGCTAAAACAGTGACACACAACATCAGCAAACACAGCTTCTGGCTGAAGATCCAGGTGCAGAGTGAGTCTCTCAGAGCCAGGTGGGCTGGGAGGGGCTTCAGCACCTTCTTTACCTCTCCTGTGCCTTCTGGCTCTGTGGGTATGGGAACTGGCCAATAGAAATGTGTTTTGCCATTCTGGTAGAGGAGCTAGCTTATGAGATATAATGAAAATGTGGCAGATGTTTAAATTTTTAAAAAATGTTTACAGCAGAAGACACATTGCCATTAATTGCCCTCCACATGCTTTCCCCCAATTCAAACACACTGATGCCATCATTCTTGCCGCTTTCTGAAACAGTTCCCAAAGTCCTCTTTTGTGAATTCAGTCGGGCTTTTGTGGCTGACTGAATGTCCTGAGCCAATTAAAAATGTTCACTTCTTGTGGTCATTTTGACTTTGGGGAAGACCCAGAAATCACACGGTACCAGATCCAGTGAATAAAGTGGATAACAACATTACAATATTCTTGCTTCACAGAAATTGCTATAAGCAATTTGATCAATATGGTATGATTATAAAATACAATAAATGTTTAAATTTTAAAAATTATTATAGTAAAAGACACATCATTAATCTCTCTCAAAATAATCAAAATATTTTCCCTTGTTTTACACATACTTATCCTATCATTCTTGGCAATGTGTTCTTTACTATAATAATATTTTTAAAATTGAATAATTTACTATATCTTTCAATCACTTCATGTAGATTGGAAAGTGAGGTACTATAATAAAAGGAATAAAAAATTTCATTTCCACTTCTATTTTCCTAAAAACACAGTCTTCTCTCTGCACATTGTCATGTTACAGCAATAGGATGGATTTGTGTAGTTAGACACAAGAGCTAGGCAAGATAATGTATCCTGCTTCTTAATTTGCAGGTTCTAGAATGCTGGTGCTTTGTGTAAGCTATTTAGAATAACAAGCACCTGCTTCTTCCTAACTAAAAGCAGCAAGCAATGTGAGTGTCAGAAATGTGTGCAAAAGAAAAGGAGAAATATCCGCATAAGGACAGATACAATAAATACCAATTTGCCTTCGGCACCAAAGCAGAAATTCTGAAAACAGATGTGGTCCAGCCTCAGGCCATAACAGTCACTAATGGCTATTACCTAGCTCTCAAAACAATTCATACTACTTGTTGAGTCAGACAAAACCCACACACTTCTTAGGGATAGTTCATTTTTCTCTCTTGAGCCACGACGTTTCAGGACAGAAAACACACAATGGTATTCTAGATCTGCAATCTGCAATCCACTGATCACATGCTAGTATCTGCTGAAGAGTATACCTTAAAGTCACATAAAAAGGTCTCTGTCCAGTACCCTCTCTTCCTTCCCCCACTTGTCCTTCACCTGCTATCTCCTTTTCTTGCAGGGATCCCTGTATCTGAAGTATCCATGGAGACCCATCCCCCAGGGGGCCAGGCTATTGAAGGGGAGATGTTGATCCTTGTCTGCTCTGCGGCTGAAGGCACAGGGGACATCACATTCTCCTGGCACATTGGCGGTACGAAGGAGAGTCTGGGTTGGAAGACTCTGCGTTCTCAGAGAGCAGAACTGGAGATCCCTGTCATCTGGGAGAGCCACGCTGGGGCATACTACTGCATGACTGACAACAGCTATGGCCCTGTCCAGAGTGAGGTCATGAACATCACTGTGAGAGGTGAGTTCTCCTCACCATTGGCATTATCCTCAGGATACTTCCTCAGATTAGGAGTAGGTATGATCAACATTAGTTTTGTGACTCTTCTTTGTCTGTTTCCATTTTGTCATCTTCTCCTGCGATAGACAATTTCTTCCATTAGAAAATCAATAACTCAATCAAGTCAGAGCAGTGTAGTATTACAGTGAGGTCATGCTGGCCAGGAGCCATCTTTGCTCTTGGAGGTGACTTTTTATGTCTCTTCTTCAATCCATCGCGTGTTTATCTCAAAGAGCATCCTTACCTCACTAAGAGCATTTTAAATTGAGGCACAATTTGGTTACCTGTCAACTACAGTAAGTCATCAATAGGACATGAGCAATGTCCTCAAGGTGGACAGAACCAAAGGCAGAAGGCAGCTTCATTACTGTAAGCCTGAGGACTTCTCAGCTACTGAATCATGTGCAGGAAACCTACAAGCAAAGATATTAGATACAGAGCCCAGCTTTGACCACTGAAAAGACAAGCCTTACAAGATCCTACAATTTTAGCCCCTGTCTTTTATTTCCTCTGTCCCTAAGAGGCCATCCAGGCCAAGCCACTTTCTCAGTCAACCTTGGCAATATGGAAGTGGTTTCTCCTGGACTTACATTCCTTGCCCATTGCAGTTTCAGTTGCATTCCCAGCCATACAAGTAGATTCTTATTGAGAAGATACTGCTAAGCTAGATTTCCTTGCATTCCTTTATAACAAAGCTCCAGAAAAGAGTTATCTCTATCCACTGTCTTCCCTTCTCCCATTTTCTCTCCAACCCGCCCACCATCAAGCTTGCTTCCCTCCACTAAAGTTATTCTCATGAAGATCAACAGTGACCTCACTATTGCTACTACTCAGCTTCCTTTTTACTTGACCTATCTCCAGCTTTTGATACAACTGATCCCTCTTTCTTGAAACACTATTCTAGTTGATCTCTAGGATACAACTTTCTCTTGGTACTCTACCTAGTTATCAGACACTCATTTTAGCCTTCTTTTCTGGATCCTCTTCCTATTTCCAACCTATTTTGAGAGCTCCATCCTCAGACTATACATGTGACCAGTCTTTACATTATCACACGTAGTCTCATTACTTTAAAAGCACTTATGACTTCTATATACTCAGGACTCCCAAACTCATTCTACAACCTCTGACTGTACTCTGAACTCAAGGCCCATATGCCAAAGTACTTAACCAAGTTTTCCACAATTCTAACTAGCATCTCAAGTTTAACTAATATGAAGCTGAACTCTTGAGTTTCATCGCAAACAGGCACATGCTTAGAGCCTCCTCTTGGTACATACAAAGTTCATTCACTTAGTTACTTCGATGAAAAATTTGGGAACCATTCTTGACTCTTTTTTTTCAGTCCTCTATATAATCCATCTGTAAGTTCTGAAGGCTTTGCTTATCTTACTATTTCTCACCGTTCTCATGTTGCCACCAGGCCCAGTCCTCCATCATCAGGCCCTCTGCATTGTTTGTCCTCCTACCCTCATGCTCTCCTTGTACTTCCTGCAATACCCACCTTCTCTATGAGTCCTTCCCCAACTCTGCTTTATAACATAGCAGCCTCTTGCCCCAGTGCTCTTGCTCCTCCTCCAAGTCCTGCTTAATTCTCTTACTGTAGCACTTAATTCACTTACTGTAGCACCAGCTACCGTACCAGGTGCACTCCTGTTTGTTTGCTTTCTTCTCCCTCTCTTTTTATATTAGCCTCATGAAGGTGAATTTTTATTTTGACCTCTATTATATCCCCAGTGTTTTCTCAGTTCAGGTATTCAATAAACAGTTATTGAAAGAATGAATTTTGCACACATCATCTCTGTTGAGTATAGTAGCAGTCCTAGAAAGTAAAAATATTATCTGCATTCTATAGAAAAGCAAAGCCTTGAGAAGTTTGGTTATTTGCATATATCCATGGAGTCTACACATGGAAGCTCAGAGTTGAGCCATGGTGCAATCTTTTAGCTCAGAGAGAAGTCAGTAATGTTACAGTTCTCTAAAGAAATGGCACACTGTTGAGTACTACCATCAAACATGCTAAATAAGCAGTCAGCTCTGAGAGTCAGACCCATGAACTGGAATGGTTGTAAGAAGCTCTGGGATGGGATTTCTATGCTAGCAGGCCAGATGATGCTGAGTGTTCCTTCAACTCCCTCCAGGCAAGTCCTGTGGTAAGACGGAGCCTCCCAAGTCAGGGAAGTGAGGTGTTTTCCCAGAACTAGATGCCACAGAAGAGTTTGCATCTCAGCTTGGGAACAGCGTAGGGAACTGAGACATGGGGTATAATTCCAAGCAAAGAAGGATGGAGACTGAATCAATGGCTTTCAAGATGAATTTAGCATAACAAAACTACTGTTCTCTTGTCACTTTGATACAGCTAGAGCCAGAATCTTCTGCAGAATTACCTTCAACAAATCCTTTTTCCCCATACGTCCTTGATTTGACTAACTAACCCAGGCTTTGGAGACGAAAACAATAATTACCTTCAACAAATCCTTTTTCCCCATACGTCCTTGATTTGACTAACTAACCCAGGCTTTGGAGTCAAGAAAACAAACAACTGCATTTCTTTTACAAACATAAATATGATACCTCACCTATGAATTTAAAGTTCCTAATGTTTTTATACATAGTGGGGATTTCACTTATAATCTAATGCTGAGTAGTTTTACAGGCAAAGGGCCTAAGGCTCAGTGAAGTTAAGTACTTTCTGAAGATTAAAAGCCAGTGGTACACAGAGATAAAGCCAAGACTTGTGTTCTATAAAAGTATTTGTTGCTTACAGACTACTCTTACATTATGGACCAACATGTACTACTTGATCACCTACTTTGTCTATAGGTGTGGTCTCTGAGCCACCTCCACTAATCAAGATCCTCTGAATGGCAGATTTGAACTGCCACCAGCTTGTCAAGGCTGAGTGCTTCTGATTTTACCGAGCTATCCTGGTGATTTTCCTGTTATACTCTGTCCTTGATTTATTTGCTAAAACGTTACTTCTGTTGATGGAATACTTACATTTCAGATACTTGATGTGCTAACAATCTACAGAAAACTTCACTTATTCTTCTAGGCTTGCCTAAAGGTCATGAAATCATAAGCAACATTTCCTTCATATGGCCATTATTCTGAAGACAGAGAGCATAGTTGTATTAGTCACGTTTCTCATTGCTGAGGCAAAATATCCAATGCCCAAAGTTAAAAGAGGTAAAGGTTAATTTAGTTCAGTTTTTGGAGGTTTCAGTCCTTAATTGGCTGGCTCCAAGGCAGAGTGACACATGGTATCACAGAGGAGAAAATAGTTCATAGCATGAAGAAAACAGCAAAAACACAGGGGACCTTAACAGCATCTTTCTGCCCCTTTTATCCAGACTCTTTAGGGAAGATAGCACTCACACCCTTAATTCTAGTGCCCTTGATCCTAACATTGTACCATGATCAATTCCAGCATCACACATGCTAGATCCAGCCACCTCTGAAAAAGCTCCACCCATGACTGTATGAGGTTTGGGGGAAATATCTAACAGAAGCCACAACAATAGCTTTCATCAATAATTAAAAGTATTTGTATTCCCAGAAGGTATAGAGACAGAAAATGATGGAAACCTTAGGTGCTCTGAGGTGTATCTTCTGCAGAATTACCTTCAACAAATCCTTTTTCCCCATACTTCCTTGATTTGACTAACTAACCCAGGCTTTGGAGTCAAGAAAACAAACAACTGCATTTCTTTTACAAACATAAATATGATACCTCACCTACGAATTTAAAGTTTCTAATGTTTTTATACATAGTGGGGATTTCACTTATAATCTAATGCTGAGTAGTTTTACAGGCAAAGGGCCTAAGGCTCAGTGAAGTTAAGTACTTTCTGAAGATTAAAAGCCAGTGAAACACAGAGATAAGGTGTTCTGTTATCTGTTCAGGTGTTATCTCCCTTTAAAATTACTATGTTGCTCTAATGACTCTACCTTTTTCCTGAGAACCTTAATTTCTAATGTGCATGGCTCAATAAATAAATCATATCTTCTGAATTTTCCTTTCTCTGTGGTTCTACCTCTAAAAAACTGTAGCAATCAAGGACTATTATTTGCTAAAGTAAAGGAGAGCTTTCCTTACAGGGCATACATATGGCAAGCTCTGTGGGAACTTCCCAAAGTTGGGGGTCATGAAGAGGGTGTACTGTAAGTTAAGAGAAGTAAGAACTGAATTAAAAGGAAGATAATATTTTAACATCTAGTAGAAGAAGAAGTGAAATTTTATAGCGTGGTATTGAGAGAGGATTTTACAAATCAATCAAACTTCATAAGAACTTACACAGGGCTAGGTTAAGAAATGGTAACACAGAAAAAGAAATGTGTTTTCAGGTATGTTGGGTTGGGATGGAGAAAACATGATAGTCAATGAAGAAGGCTCATGAACCCTGGATTCTGGAAAACAAGCAGGCACAATGGTCTCAAAGTGGATCTTTGTGTCCATGGTTCAATAATCCTCTTTCCCTCCACCGCCAGTGCCTCCAGGACAACTCTAGGGGAAAAGGTGAGTCTTACTCCCCATTGTTTTCTTCCTAATTCCTATAGTCTCACTGTCCCTCTCTTTCTCAAGTTCTCCTTATATCTTTTTCCATCCCAGTGTGCCTCAGTTATCTACTCTGAGGTGAAGACACAGCTCCCAGATAACTCAACTGGAAATGTCAGCCCCAAAGATGAAGACATCACAGAATGTTAAAAAAAAAAAAAAAGTGTGGCATTCATGTGAGTTGACCCAAAGCCTCAATCCCATCATGGGATTGCAATTATCAACTCTAAGTCATCTACTCTGAAGTGATGATGAGACGGCCTCTGGAATTCTTTGCTGAAATGTCTGGATCTAGAGTTGGAAGAAGACTCTGTATGGCTGTTCTTGGAATGACCTAGTGTGCTCCCTGAAATCCGATTTAGGGAAAGGCAATAAGGATAGAGAAGAACAGTTTCTGAGAAATGCAATCCTAAATGTTAGTGAATTGGCATTTGCACAGAGATTGAAAAGACCAAGAGGTCTGGATCTCGGTTTAAAACATTTCTAAGTCTCTCACTGGAGAATCAGCTATGCCATTTGGTGTAAGACTGTCTGCCCAGGTTTGGCACTGTGAACATCCCTCCCATCTGTCTACCCGGGATACCCTCTCAGGGTTCAGTTACAGGTAAAATAAGCATTCACAATTATTTACAAAGGAATGAATTTTAGCAAAGTTTTTATGTGACTTCCAAAATCATCAAGAGAGCTGGAGAGGCAGACCCTGGACTGGGATTCCCAAAGCAAAAGGCAATTGCATACCATCATTTGAGTCAAAAACTTTTAACATTAAAGAAAAGAGATACAAATATAAAATTAGAAAGCAGCTTTATAAGCCTAAATATCAGTAGGAGTTCATGATAACTTACTCTTCAAAAAACACATTTCTAGGTCTGTTCACTGAAAAGGTCTAGAAATAATTACCAGCCCAACGGCAATGGGCACCACTTGATAGTTGTACTCTCTAAATACCATTTCTTTTTCAAAGAACACAGAGCTGCCTTTCTTGTAAACCTGTGTCTTTGAGCTGCCAAAGAGTTGATGTAAGAATGATACTTTGAATAACTGAAGAACTAGGGAACTGATAGTTTCCATAGCTGTCTCATGCCATACGGACTGGTTAACACCAACACCTACAGAGTAGCCGTACCCTAAATATCAGAGCTGAATCAATCAAATTTTTTGATCTAAATACCAGTTTGTAGGGAATACAGGAGACCAAGGAACAAACTAAAACAGCGTCATAGGATTGCAATCATCAAAATGCAAGCTATGGGAAAGTTTTCTAGGCCAAATGGACAAATGAAAGAACCCAATTTTTTCAACAATTCATGGGGAAGGAAGAAGAGGGAGGAAGGAAGAGGGGGAGGGAGGAAAGGGAGAGGGCGAGGGAGAGGGAGGCTGGAAGAGAAGAGTAAGGAGAAGAAAAGAAAAAGGACAACAGTAAAGAAATGAGAAGAGAGAGGGAAGGAATAAATTACACGAGACTTGAGATGCATCCTCCAAAAGCAAAGAGTAGCCCATTGTTAAGAACCTGACTCAAAAAATGCAGTCAGGGAAAAAATACTGTGCGAAAGCTGTATGTGGTGGTTCATACCTACATTCCCAGAACTTGGAAGGCTGAGGCAGGAGAATTGTGATTTTGAGGTCAGCATGGGCTATAGCAAATTCAAGGCCAGAGAAGTTTGTACACTCAAACTAAAAATGTATTGTGTTTTTGATATAAATGATTATATCATGGTAATGATTTTATAAAAACAAAAAAGCACTCATTTTTAGAGCTTATTCAAACTCATTGACTAAAAGCATTAAAGTGAATAAAATGTGCATTAAATCATAGAATAAATGACAATTTTTTATGTCCATCAGTGCAATCTGTTTTATTTGACATAAGGCATTTGGGACAGTCACTTTTGAGTGGATGTTTGCCTTTTGGAAGAGTCATGTGTGCAGTTTCTGAAGCTGGGTGCTTGGCGCATTGCGGGAGGAAGGGGGAGTTACACTGCTCTTCATTTCTGTGTATGTGACATTTCCAACAATGAATATTGTCTCATTGGCCACTCCATGCTTCCACCCCTGCCTGGGCTGTCTCCTGCTATTAACAGTGGCAGTTTGTCTCACTTCTCCATCCCTTTCCTTCAGCCCGTTCTTAGCACTGTGACAAAGTGCTGAGTCCTGAAGTGACTCGTGTCCTGGATGGTAAAAGCCAAGTCCTTAAGTGTCCACAGGCTGTACCCAGTTGGTCTCCCCATGGCCTCTCTGATCTCATCCACAGTCTTCCCTCATCATGTGACTACAGACATTGACTTCCTTGCTGTGCCTTGCACACACTCGCGAATGCCCTCTAAGACCTTTGCACTGCTGTTCCCTCTGCTTAGAAAGCTTTTCTACCCGGATCCCCATCACAGGCTTGCGATCTACCCTGTATCACATGTAAATTTAGAAACCAAGCCTTCCATCTTCAGCATACCTCATCTCTATTCCCCTGCTTTACTTTGTGTTCCTAGCGCTTATCACTTGTTAATAAAAAAATTTACTTAATTATTATGTTTGTTATATATCAGTCATTTGGAAAGTTTCTTTTCTTTTTTGACATCTCGATCAGATTTTTCTTTGTTTCTTCTTCATCCTCAGTTCATAAATAACTTCCTGCTTAGAAAAGTTAATGTTATTTCCAAAGGTGTCTGATTTTAAAAACTGATGTATATTAGACAATAGGAGGTAGACATTCGCTTCTTCAATATTTGAATAAGAATATTTGAATTCCAGCAGGGAGCTGAGGCAGGAGGATTGAGAGTTAAAGGCCAGCTTGGGCTACATAGGGAAACCCTGGCCCCAAAGAAGTAAGGTTTGTTCCTATATGTAAGCAACAAACTATTTGTATATTACCTAAAAAAATAGCTCTCAGCAGTACTTTTTAAAAACTATATATCTTTAGATTTACATGACTTCAAATATTTTATTGATACATGTTTGTAGTACATAATGACTACAATTCACATTAGAGAGTTGGTACAAGAACAAAAACTTTTGTCTTTTTTTTTAACTAATATATCCCAAGCACCTAGAACTGTGCCTGGTACATTGTAGGGGCATAATATATATTTTAGAATGAAAGAATAGTGTGTTTCAATAAGGAAGATTCTTGCTCTTTCCATGATGGAAGAACCCAATGTAAACAGTCTGCTGATACACATCAAACTGCCCTCCAGGATTGCAGCCCACGGAAAAGCTCAGGTTCGCCCAATGTCTGCTAGGCTGGACACTTAGCAGTGGTCAGAGTGGGCACAGTGAGCAGATGCTTGTGTAGCGGAATCCATACGCATAACCTCAATTGGACCTTGCCCCAGTCTACTTGATACATGGGCCCTTTGAGCAATCAAAGTGGGGTAAGTGGGGGGAAAGCTGCCTGGTAGTCCCCCGGAAAGGTTAGCATGTTAAGCTGAAAGTTGAGATATTCTGTGCTGGAAAGTGTTGGTTTAGTGTTCATAAAGATGGAAGTATTCTCATATTCCGTCTGGGTTCATCAGGAGAAGTCCATCAACTTCACTCTCTTCTAATATTCCAATTTTATTCTTCCCCAAACCCTGACCGTATGGTTCCAACAACTAGCCACCCTCATGAGCCATAGTAGATTCCCAACTCTAGACACCTCATCTTCCAGGAAGTATGACTCACTAGGACTCCCTTTTCTTTGCAGCCCTCCCAGAAGTACGTGGAACTGCAGCGCTGCATAGTCACTTCCGGTTGAAGCTGCCGTATTTGGGCAGGATAAATTTTATTTTCTTCCTCCTCCTCAGCTAGTCATAGGAAACTCATCACTAGGCTATGGCTATGGGTTGAGACAGAGGTGAGAGAGCAGCAAAATGTGAATTCATCACTGTTTATTCAGTTTGCTATTGCTTTCAGTTCATACCAGAGGCAGACTCCTATCATGCCCACTTAATGATGGGATGATCATGGAAATGTATGAGTTTTGGTTAGTAGATTTGATAATTTTCAGTTCATGTTCAATAAGTCTAGCCTCTGGTGCACTCTATTCAAATGTTAAGTGACTGCAGTGACCCAGTTCTACTCAAGAGATTTCTCAAAAAAGCGTTATTTGAAGAGAGCATAGCTTTGCTCCAAATCTATGGGGTCTTCAACTGTGATTCTCTTGTTAAGGCTTGCTACAGATTTCACACTGCTGTTCTGATTAGCCACAGACCTCTTGGGCCTTTGGGCCTGCCAGATTATAAAAGCAAGGACAGAGCTGACTGCACTGTACCCTAGCCAAGCTAAGATCCCTGAACAACTTAGCAAGACTGATTTAAAATTAAAAAGCAGGGCTGGGGATGTGGCTCAGCACTGGAGCATGAGGCTACCCACTTCCTCCCCAAAATAAAATGCTATTACAACCACTCAGCACTACAGAATTAGAGATGGACCAAGGCAGAAGCTCAGAAGAATCAAAATGCCCACGTCCACCGCCCAGCTTTGAGAAAATCCACACAATCATAACATCACTACTTTAAAGTCTGCCACTGAGTCTTGTAGGTGCTTGCTTCAGTGGAAGAGAGACTACATGCAGAGACCCTGGATATATCCTGCTGCTCTCTGCTAAACAAGAAGTCACTCTAGAAAGAGGACGAATTGGTAGTAAGAGAGGCATTCTTCAGCATCTGCCACAATAATTGCATGTGTGTATTCTTAAGGTAAGCAGTAAATGTTTCAGAGACAGAATGCATAATAGATATGGGCTTTTTTTAATTCAAGAGATTTTAATTTAATTTGAGTCCATAGTAAGGCTCTTATTATGGCTATAAGTCTTCAGACAAGTTATTAAAATTTTCTGGTTTTAATTCCTTTCTATGTGAAATGAAGATAGTATCTGTTGTGCACAGCTGTAGTGGCTGCATTCCTATCTGAAGGCCTTTGATTTTGCTGTTCTCTCTGGTTAAAATGCTCTCCTCCCCTTGGGAGATGCCACTTGCTTTCTCACAACCTTCACTGCCTACTTTATTCCACCACTATCTTTTACATAAGGTCTTCTGATGCTACCTTTTTAGGTTATCAGCGTGTTCCATTCCCATCAACCCCTTTCATCCATACTCATATTTCTCCAAGCACTTTTCACTATCTAAAATTTCAAATTTTTCTTATTTGTTTATCTAGTTGTTCCATCTATAATTTAT